CATTACAGGGCATTAAAAAGGTGCAGGTGTGTAGAAATAAGCACATATTTGAATATACTGTAGGGTTATGAGAGGGAAAAGTAGTTGTCTCAAGTTGAATATATTTCACCTTGATTAAAAAAACTATCCTGGGGCATTATGAAAGAAATAGAGGGAAATTACAGAAGAAAATCAGGATTTTAAATGTTACAGTTGTAGTTTAATGGCTGTTTGGGGTGTATACATACAGTATGGACAAGAGAAAAGCTCCAGTGGTCCAATCTGTGCAAGTGATATGGCAACAAAAACGTCTGCCATGTCAGGGGTTCCCAAACCTTTTTTCCCAAGAGCCCCCCCAAATGACTCCTGTTGGAAGGGGGGGGGGGGGCGCAACAGCGGTAATTAAAGTTTAAAAGTCTCAAAAATGGTACAACTACTGTCACAAACTGGATGAATGTGAAGTATGTTGTTAAAGGAGGATGAAAGCGTAATTAAGGAGCACTATTGGAGTGACTTTGATGGTTATCGGACTCAGGAATAATTCATTTGGATTCCCGCTGTATGAAGGAATTAAAGGACGGCGCAAGTGGAAACAATTCACAAAGGGATTAAACTGTTTAAAACACATGCTCAAAGTAAGACGGATTTTACCGATGTGATTCAAAAGTCGTAAATAATCACCGATCTGATCGGAGCAACTGTGACAAATAATCCAACTGAAACCGGCATGGACAATGACTATGTTTTAAAAATGCGCTTAAGAAACATTTCTATTAAAGAAAGACTTATACATTTCTGTCTTTGTATGCCTATAATAGCTACTAACTTGAATTGTTATTCAAATTAATGAATCAATTATTATTTATATTTTATTGTAATGTAGAGAAAGGCTTTTAGTGACAATCATGTATTGCGTTACAATTATACATATAATTTATTTTTTTTAAACAAAAAAAAAGGCTTAATATGATATTTGTCCTCAAATCATCTGAGGCCTGGCGCCCCCCCTGCGATCTTTGGCGCCCCCAGGTTGGGAACCACTGTGCCACGTGATGTTTTCTTTTTCTTTTTTAAATTAACAGTAGGCTATAATCCTGCAAAAAACATCTACTCATACTTTTAAAATGTTACTTCAGGGAGAATTAAATGCAAATATCAGGGTTAGATAGGTTTAGGGTTTGCTTACTTGAGATGATGTCATCAATATCTGTGGTAGGCCTATCACTTAAAGTTGACCTCCATGGGGAAATTCAGTGGTTAAAACAGCAACAGAGTGAGAAGGAAAAACAGGACAGTACAGATTCACACAAATTATAATAATAATACAAATACAAAAAAATACAAAAATTAAAATGGTGTATTAACTGTTAAAACAAATGCAGGTCTTCTTACAGTTCATCATGCTGTCCTTTCATATGTCCTCTACTTCATGTGAGTTCACTGTCCTATTTCATTTTGTCAATAAATATTTCATAAGAAAGAGGAAAAGCAAGAACAAATTGATTCACCACAGTCAAATACCAGCAAAGGAAATGCTATTTTATTAAAGTTGCAATGATTCCCTTTGAAGAACACTGGGCTCTGTCTGAAACTGAGAGTGGGCTCGGACAGTCTTGGCAGCCTGCACCAGAGCCTTCAGACTGCTGCTCATCACTGAGTGGATTAGTGTTCCTGTCTGAAGCCACTTACTGGACATTAGGCAGGGCTGCTGAGTGGCACATGCGCCACATTTCCCCTAAAGCCCTGCCATGCCACGCCGCAGGTATGTGGGGCCGACCGGCCAAACCCCATGTCGGGCATTCTCCGGATGCCTGCCGCGTGCCAGACACCGGGGGACAAAGTGAAGAGGAGGACGGAAGGATGATTGTTTGTAAACTCCAGCATAGAAATGTAGTTACAAAAGAGCCAAAATGCAACTATTTGCTTTCTGCAGAGTGAGATGAGAAGATTGATACCAATCTCACGTCTGTACAGCAAGCTATAAGCCAGTAGACATGTAGCTTAGCTTAGCATAACGTCTGGAAACAGGAGCAAACAGCTAGTCTGGCTGCTCTGAACAAAGGTAACAATTATACCCACAAGCACCTACCAAAATCACTAAGTAAGTAAGACTGTATATAAATTAAATTAAATTTCTGAAGGTAATAACGACAAGTTGCCTGACAGGAGGTTTTGTGCTAAAACAATTTTTGAAATGCAGCAGTAACATTGTCACCTCGAGTTTGCCAAATAACCAATAAAGTCAAACCAAATGTGTACTAATTTTATCATTAGTGAGCTCTACAGATGCTGGTAAGTTTTTTTATTTAAAAAATAAATAAAAACAGAAATAGAGAGATGTGTGCAAAACAGGTCGAACATCAGTAGATTTCTTATTACCATGTAGCTTTAGCTAGTGGCTGTGATGCTAATATCAACATTTTTGGAACTTTTGCAGACAAGAATATAATGGACAATCCACACGTGCAACTAGTAAACTGTCAAAATATAGGAATATGACCTAAAAGAATACAAGAAAAATAAAATCCAAGAATATAGGAAGATTATTGAAAAGTCTGTAGTAGCCTTAAGGGGCACACACCATCTCCTATATATTTTGGCCAGCCGAGGCAGGCCAGCCACATGTTGGCCGATGTCCCAGTCAACATCATGAGGTTGTCTTTGGCTGTTAGTGACTGGAAAAGACCAAAGTCAGTGCCGCTTCATGCAAAGTTTAAGCCCATCCAACCTGCCCCTCAAGCCCCACTATGTGAAGTAATTCTTCAAGCCAGTGGAACTAGACATGCTCTGTGTTTTGTCACTGTATGCATGGCAATACTTTCTCAACACTGCACTTTTAAAAATCAAAACATTAACAGGTTGATGTTCTTTCATAACGCTTTATTTTTCCCGTTAGGAGATTTGAAATAAGGCATGGGAGAAAGTTATTATTGGATTAAAACATGTGGGCTGTATCAGACAATTAGTATTTTCTCTGTACTGTACTGTCAACTTGTAGGAGCAATACGCCAACGCTGTATGGAAAACTGGAGGCTAGATCCAATCCAACTGAGAAACAATCTCTCACTCAGATCATGGCCAAACTAGGGCTTTAAAAACAAGCTGTATATAATGTTTATTTTTTCTTTACCATGTATGCATGTGTGGACAGATTGAGCAACAGTTACAGTGACATTTACACTAAACGCAATATAGCAAGACACCTGTGTCTAAGCTGTGAGGTTCAACTGCGGGCCAAAGTCAAATCCCTCCTGGCTCGACACCTTCGTACATTATATGGAGGTTTGAAAACACATGGCAGTGGCACAGAGCTTCTAAAATCTTTCTCAATGTTTCTGTGTCTAGAGAGCAGCACCAGCTCCAAATTACAGCCAAAGTAACACATTCACATGCAGTGTTCATTACTTGTCTAACAACCTTTACAGGGTTGCTGCTTAGTCAGAAGTCAGAAAGAAGAGTCAAGCCATAGTGAAAATAAGACAAAAGTACTGACATGACATTAAATCCAAAATTAGCACTAATGTGCACTACTGAGCTTGAGGAGAAAACATGCAGTAGCTAGTGCATCCTGTACTGTACCTTCACAGACTATAACTATAATTTATACTTTTGTTGTTTTTTTCCCTTACCCAGAATTACTTTATAACTCAATTTGTGACTTTACATTAGATTTGCAAAGATGGAGAAGTGGCACTCTCTGATGGTGAAAAAGCAGAGCATTTTTAAAGTCTTGTTATGACCTCTGGCGCTCTCTGCTGGGTATCATGGAGTACTAACAGATCAATAGATATTTGAGGCTCTGCTTTGATTCTGAGCAATAGCTAGTGTTTTATGCAAATTATTTCATTTGGCAAATACCTTTCCATTAAGCTGCTGGGGAGTGGAGAGGGGAGGCAACTTTAGTAAGACACAGTACAAAGCAACCATACTCAATATGAGAAGTCCCTTAAAGTCCTGAGTAAAAACCAAGCAGTTGTGGAAGAAATACTTAAATATGTTACTTACAAGGAAGTAGCAATGCCATGTGGTGAACACACATGTAAAAGTCCTGCAATATAGGTAAAACTATAAGTATTATCAAAGTATACTTCAATATATAGATAAAGGTAAAAGTATTATGTAGATCAATATTTGATTCGAATTAAAATTGCAGTGAACATTACTTTATGTTGCCGATGTTAAAGATGGGCAAATATTGAAATCATAGCGTTAGTTTAAAGTAGTACCAGCATCTTATTGATCTCCTATCGCTGCTTGAATGCACGGAGTGTGACCAACAACACAAATCCAACTATTGTTAATGGTTTGCATAAGGCCTTTAGCATCCACAGGCAAAATATGAGTTGCACTTACTTTCATAACTGCTACTATGTGAATATCAATACCCAAATCTGCAGCTGGAAACTGTGGTTTCTGCGGTTCTTTTAGATTGCAACACTTCTCAAGAAATGTCTGGGTTGTGGGTTGTATGAGATACTCAGACTTGGAGATGGAAACCGCGGTTTCTGTTACTCATTTAATTTTTGGTGTGACATACCAGTAATATATGGTCACAGCTAAAAAGTAAATCAATACTAAAGAACTTTTTTACTTCATTCATCCAACCAAATGTCACTAAATCCTACGGGGCTAAGTGTTAAAAATCCAGTGATGAAAAAATGTCAACAAAGATATTTAAACTGCCATTGATTCAAAATGGTAAAAATATGAATTGACATCAAATGTTGAAGAGAAGTAATAGATTATTGTTAAGCACCGTGTGAGAACTCAGCCATGCTGTTCACATAATGCATGAGCTTCAGGCTGTGGAGGCCGCAGAACCACAGGCCTTATATTTACTGAAACAACGGTAACACTTCATGAGGTTTCATGTCTTTACAGACCACATGCACTCATCACTTTAACACAATTAAAGTTTGCACAGATACATACATGGTGGGCTAAAGACATCTTGGTGAAGCAGGTGAAAACCACAGGGTCGCTGACTGAGGAGACTGGTTTATAAAAGGTCGACACGACACTCAAAGACAACAGGTTCAGTTTGCTGCAAGCATGAAGCACGCTCTGCACAGGATTCTGCTTCTTCAACTTCTGACAACTCTTGGACTTCATGGTAAGATTCCCACATGTGGTTATTTGTCTCTTTTCTACAAATGCAGTATTAACTCATCCTTCTTTTCAGCTCTTGGTAGTGAAATCATAAATGGTAAAAAGGTCCCGGACAACAAAATGCAGTTTATGGCCTCCGTGCAGAACAACCAAAATGTTCATATCTGTGGAGGATTCCTCATCAATGAAGTCTTTGTGGTCACTGCTGCACATTGTGATCGCTCGTAAGTTGTCAACGTTTTTTAGGCAATCTATGATTTATGTTATTATCTAAAGGAGCAGCAGTTATTTTAATAAACAGTACTGATTACCCCTAAATGACCATTTGCTTAGGAATCCTACAAGTGTTGTTCTTGGTACCCACAATCTCAAGAAGGTTGATGAGAAAATGAGATACGGTGTGAAGAGATGCAAGCATCCATCTTACAAGAAAGTTGAAGAGGGGGCAGACATCATGCTCCTCAAAGTAAGTAGATAATAGCATTTTTACAGTAATATCTCTAACTTTGATGTTCTGTTTAATTCTGTTCTAGTGCCGCAAGCCTATACCCACTTACATTAAATCTCAAAGCAGCCCCATCTTCAAGCAATTCATTGTTAGCTTGATGTTTCCTGGAGGAAGAAGTATGCTTTAAGTCTGGCTTTGCTAGCTTTTAACTTTAACTTTTTGATTTTGTGTGTCTCCAGCTGTCCAGGAAAGCTCGACAGAACAAAAGAATAAAACCGATTCCACTTCCAAAAGCTGAGATTAAGTTCAAGAATGAACAAAAGTGCCAGGTAGCTGGATGGGGCTCCACAAGTGATGGTAAATCTGTTGATGAGCTGCTAATGGTGGTTGTGCCCATTGTTGACCTGGAGGCCTGTAAAAGAATATGGGAACGTCGAAACTTTACTCTTCCGGAAAACATCACCTGCGCAGGTGGATATCGCACAAAAAATGGATTCTGTGAGGTATGTTTTCTGTCCTGTCATATGAAGTGGTTTCTGGAATAAATTAATGTACTCTTGGAAAGTGATTGATAAAGCTTCTTACTGCTTACAGGGTGATTCTGGCGGCCCTCTGGTGTGCAACGGGAGAGCAGCTGGAGTTGTGTCTTACAACTGGAATAACAACTGCCAATACCCAAATATGCCCAATGTGTACACAGATCTACCGAAATACCTTCCCTGGATCAGAAAGATTCTCAAGAAAAATAATTGTTAAATGTAACAGATCAACATACTCGTATGCACTGTAGTGGCTCCTTGGATTTAAATATCATCTTAAAACGTTTCACTTTTACAGAAAAGCTCTATAATGAGTTCACCATTATCATCACCAATATAAAAGTGCAACATGCTTTTAGTGTACTGTACTGGCTGGAATGTTCTTGTTTATAAAATGTGTTATATAAATAAATGTATCTTGCCTTGCCTTTATATGGACCTACAGTATGTTAATAGCTGTTAGCTATTCAGAATAGTTTTGGTCTTTGCTACATGTTTCCCAGTCAAACCTGTTTAATACTTTCTTATAACATTATAAGAAAGTATTAAACAGGTTTGACTGGGAAACATGTAGCAAAGACCAAATATATTATTTTTTGTTATAACAAGCACATGCTTGTTATAACAAAAAATTGACTTTTTAAAACGTCCAGAAAGTTCCTAGAAGGATAGCTCCTATTCATACATCACTACCACCACCACCTAAAAAGTAATACTTTAGTACAGAAGGCAGACAGATGATGTTAGGAAGATTCATCCGACAGCTCAATTTGTGACTTCACATTAGATGTACAAAGATGGAGGAGGGGCTGCCTCTGATGGTGAAAAAGCAGACATTTTTAAAGTCTTGTTATGACCTCTGGCGCTCTCTGCTGGGTATCATGGAGTACTAACAGATCAATAGATATTTGAGGCTCTGCTTTGATTCTGAGCAATAGCTAGTGTTTTATGCTAATTATTTCATTTGGCTAATAAGTTTCCATTAAGCTGCTGGGGAGTGGAGAGGGGAGGCAACTTTAGTAAGACACATTACAAAGCAACCATACCGAATGAGAAGTCCCTTAAAGTCCTGAGTAAAAACCAAGCCGTTGTGGAAGAAATACTCAAATATGTTACTTACATGGAAGTAGTAATGCCATGTGGTGAACACACATGTAAAAGTCCTGCAATATAGGTAAAACTAATAAAGTATTATCAAAGTATACTTCCATATATAGATAAAGGTAAAAGTATTATGTAGATCAATATTTGATTCGAATTATAATTGCAGTGAACATTACTTTATGTTGCCGATGTTAAAGATGGGCAAATAGTGAAATCATAGCGTTAGTTTGAAGTAGTACCAGCATCTTATTGATCTCCTATCGCTGCTTGAATGCACGGAGTGTGACCAACAACACAAATCCAACTATTGTTAATGGTTTGCATAAGGCCTTTAGCATCCACAGGCAAAATATGAGTTGCACTTACTTTCATAACTGCTACTATGTGAATATCAATACCCAAATCTGCAGCTGGAAACTGTGGTTTCTGCAGTTCTTTTAGATTGCAATACTTCTCAAGAAATGTCTGGGTTGTGGGTTGTATGAGATAAAACAACACGGAAAATCTTTTCTGATCTTTTTAACATTGTAGAGTCGAGTTCATTTGATGTCGCCACATCAGTGTGCACCAAAGGAGAGCAATGTAAAAAAGAATACAAATACACTGGATGGACATTTTAAATGCAAAATGAACATGACTGGTGGGTAAAATAGATTCATGCTCAATACGTCAGTGTTTATAATGCCCATGGCAGATTCTAGCAATGAATTCAACATATTTACATTGGAAAAAACCATTGGATGACTTTGCTCTTCTCTGCATGCTTTCAGTCTTTAAACCCTATTTATTTTTTTAAGTTATGTTGAATTACTGCAAACAAATTACACTTCAGAAAAGTAATACCTCCTCATAACATATTCACTTTAAAATAGACTTGAGTCAAACATTGAGAAATAAGCCGCAGTGTTCTTTTAGACTAGCTGTCAGTCAGCGTTGACACGACTTACCAGAATTCGTTTCACACCTGTGATCGTGATCATACTGACACTCAGACTTGGAGATGGAAACCGCGGTTTCTGCTTCTCATTTCGTTTTTGGTGTGACATACAAGTAATATATGGTCCCAGCTAAACAGTAAATCAATACTAAAGAACTTTCTTACTTCATTCATCCAACCAAATGTCACTAAATCCTACGGGGCTAAGTGTTATAAATCCAGTGATAAAAAAATGTCAAATTGCCATTGATTCAAAATGGTAAAAATATGAATTGACATCAAATGTTGAAGAGAAGTAATAGATTATTGTTAAGCACTGTGTGAGAACTCAGCCATGCTGTTCACATAATGTGTTTTTACAGACCACATGCACTCATCACTTTAACACAATTAAAGTTTGCACAGATACATACATGGTGGGCTAAAGAAGTCTTGGTGAATCAGGTGAAAACCACAGGGTCGCTGACTAAGGAAAAATAAATGAAAATGTCAGATACAAAATTAACATTGGGTAGATTATAGCAGAAAATAGACTAATGAGCCACAATGCTCTTGTAGATTAGTTGTCAGTCAGCGTTGACATGTTTTCACAGAATTATCTTCACACTTGACTGTGATAATACTCACACTCAGACTTTGAGATGGAAACTGTGGTTACAGCAACTCGTTGCTATGGTGCAACATCGCAGTAATAAAAGACAACAGCCCAAATGTGAAAGCTAAAATGTAGATCCATACCAAACCATTTTGATTATTTTTCACATATTTCATCCAACTAAATGTGACTAAAGCTTATTTAGTCACATTAACGATGAGTATTATCCAAACAGGGACAAGAATATCCCAGAACTTTCAGAAAAACACAATACTTGTGCATGTGCTTCAGGCTGTGGAGGTCGCAGAACCACAGGCGTTATATCTACTAAAACAACTGCAACATTTCATGAGGTGTCATTTCTTTACCACCACATGCACTCATCACTTTAACACATTTAAAGTTTGCACAGGGTCGCTGACTGAGGGAACTGGTGTAAAAAAGGTCGACACGACACTCAAAGACAACAGGTTCAGTTTGCTGCAAGCATGAAGCACGCTCTGCACAGGATTCTGCTTCTTCAACTTCTGACAACTCTTGGACTTCATGGTAAGATTCCCACATGTGGTTATTTGTCTCTTTTCTACAAATGCAGAATTAACTCATCCTTCTTTTCAGCTCTTGGTAGTGAAATCATAAATGGTGAAAAGGTCCCGGACAACAAAATGCTGTTTATGGCCTCGGTTCAGAACAGCAGAAACAAACATATCTGTGGAGGATTCCTCATCAATAAAGACTTTGTGGTCACTGCTGCACATTGTGATGATGGGTGAGTTACCTTTGCTCTTTCAATACTCAATGAATAATGTTATTGGACCAATCCAAAGAACCTTATTTTTGCATTACATGCAGCAGCTATTAATAAACACTACTGATTGCCTCCTGATGATCATTTGCTTAGGAATACAAGTGTTGTTCTTGGTACCCACAATCTCAAGAAGATTGATGACACAATGAGATACAGTGTGAAGAGATGCAAGCATCCATCTTATGAGAAAGTTGGTAAGGGGTCGGACATCATGCTCCTCAAAGTAAGTAGAGTTCCAGTAATTTGATGTTCTGTTAAATACTTTTAGTCTCAACAAAGCCGTTAAAACAACAAAGCATTTACATCAATACTATGAGCAGCTGAACTCTCCCCCCCCCCCTCTATCTCACCTCTCCACCATGCCCCCACTGGACCGGGACTTTAACACCCCCCCCCCACACACACACACACACACACACACAAAATCCAGCACCAGTCACTTTTACGCTGCTATGGAAATGTTTGCACTATGTACATTATCTTTTTTATATATATCCTGCTTACTTGAAGTAAACGGTTATTTTGTAATTATTGAGTGTTCTTGTATTTTAATGAGTGTTTTTTATACCTCGGGTCTGTGGGAAACAGTATTTCGATCTTTCTGTGTGTACAAACATATTTTGAGATTGACAATAAAGTTGACTTTGAGCTTCATTTTCAAGCAAGCTTGATGTCTGATATGGGGATAAGAAGTATCCTCTATCAGACCTCTGTGTTTTCTAGTTTTTTTCACACATTTTCACTTGTGATTTTGTTTCTCCAGCTGTCCAAGAAAGCTCGACTGAACAAAAGATTGCAACCAATTTCACTTCCAAAGACTAAGACTAAGATTAAAAAAAAGAATCCGTGCAGTGTAGCTGGATGGGGTCTAACAAGTGTTGGTAAACCTGTTGATGAGCTGCAAATGGTGAATGTGCCCATTGTTGACCTGGATGTCTGTAAGAACGAATGGCCTAACATGCTTCCTGAAAACGTTATCTGTGCTGGTGGATATGGCACAGATAAAGGATTCTGTCAGGTATGCTTCCTTTCCCGTCAGGGGTATGGTCTCATTATAAAAAGGTCATTAGAAAGCAAATGAACTAATATAGCTTCTTCCTCCTCACAGGGTGATTCTGGGGGTCCTCTGGTGTGCAACGGGAAGGCAGCTGGTGTTGTGTCTTACAACTGGAAAAAGGACTGTGGATACCCAAATAGGCCCAATGTGTACACAGATGTATCAAAATACCTTCCCTGGATCAGAAAGATGATGAAGGATTGTTAAATGTAACGCAACGGTCCCTGATCAGCCTGTCGGATGTTCGTTTACCCATAATGACCGCCTCGCTGCACATTATCCCTTACATGTGCATCTACATATGTTGCATCTGTTGTTCACCTTTTTCAAACACAAAGGGTCATGTATTCTCCTGAAAGTAAAGCCAGTTTCTTATCACATGTAGCTAACCGTGTTGTATGTGTTAACGTCAATCACTTAAACCTTTTTGAATTTAGTTAATTTAGAAATATGGCGCAGCTTTTAGTCTTATAATTGGGTAATGTTGCACAAAGAAACTTCAAATCCACTTAAGCTGGTTTGCATTTGTCATCCAAGATGAGTTAACATGTTCACACCTGACCCTATGAAACAGGTTGAAGTGTGTGTACCCCTCTACAGTTGCAATGGTTTCAGATCTGATGCTCAAAGGACTTTCAAAGTTTTTCAATTTTTTTCGGAGGGTTAAATGTTGGCAAATTTTATTTGTTATGATTTTGTTATTTCTTCAAAACTGCTTTTATGAATTTGATAAGTTTCTACCTGCGGTGATATTAAAAATATGCATTAATGAGTTTGTTTCCCTTGTGGCGTTATTGCTTGTCGCAGAGTTAATCATTTACAATTATGTTTTAACTTTGTAGAATGCCAAACTCTATTTTGGCTGTCAAACTAGTTTACTTTAATTATTGGACAGTGACATCATATTAACTACAGGGCACAGATAAATAAATACTTCAAACACACAAGCATGACCGATGACACACACATTTGTTTGCTTTGGACTCAGATGCACTGCAGAGGATGGATATAACCAAAACTGATTGGAGTGGCGCCCACTAATGGTCAAAAAGCAGAGAAACTCTGCAGCTCTGTGTTCCGACACAGGCCTTCTCTACTGAGTATACAGTAGAATGACGTTCTAATGCGAGCAACAGCTTGCAATATGTCTATCAAATATTACATGTGTTGGTAGTGGATCTGAATATGGATTTGTGGCGAGAAAAACAGTGAATAATGTAGTCAGATGTGTATAATGAATAATCAGTTGAATCCTTTCATCAAAGTTCTTTCAAAACAAAAAATGTAAGTTTATAATATATAATGTTACATGAGAAAAAAGGTAATTAATGTTCTGACTAGATCTGTGTTTGTTCTCCCCTGCAATGAGGCCTAACTAACTAAATCATTGCTGCATAACCGTGAGAACATAAATGTTCAAACCTGTATCTGGAAACTGGTTTCTGTGGTTTCTTAGTTTGTCGATTCAAAGAAAGGTTTCAGTGGCATGTGTCGAGAATGTCCACCTTAAACAATAACGGTGTTTGTGGTCTTTACTCGTTAGATCAATGCAACAAAAGCTCACTTACTGTTACCAAGTCTTATCCACAAATAGGGGGGAAAAACAGGCCTACCAGTACAGGAGAGCATGTCCAGGAAACCCACAGTCGGAGGATAATATTGGGAAGGCTCTAAAACCAGTACCAATATCATGTAGAAAGCCGACACTCATACTGTAAGACAGAAGCACACAGGAGCTAAAACTGAGAAAAAGCATGAAATACAAATAAAACATCTCCACACTGTACCAAACTACCTGTAAGAATGTGACAGCCCAAATAGTCCTGTTAGTGGCAAACAGTGGGCCACACCAAAACTTTAAATAAGAGGTCTGTCTTTACTGTAGCTTTAAAGAAAATTACATAAAGAAAAGTAAAACAGCAATAACAGGTCACAGGTAGTAAAGATAACAAGAAAAGAGAGCTTAAAAAAACAAAAACAAGAAAGAGTAAACTAAACTTAGAACAAACAGGGAGAACATCAACGGGTAGAAGAGGATTAAAGTAGTGACGAGCACTGTGGCGAACCACACCAGGGAACATTAACGACGCACTGAAGGAGAACAGTTGAAAACAGACAGGTATAGATGCACTCAGAACTAATCACCACAACAAGACACAGCTGCTGTGTGCAGGCTAAAACACAGGAGCAGCAGGGTGATCACACACAGGTGGATCCAATCAGGACGAGGCCAACAATCACATAAAGTGGGAAACCACATAAACAGGAAGTCAATGAAACAAGGTGAGTGATTTTTACAAATAAAACAGGAAACAGAAACGCCAAGGTCATGAAATAACCCCAGGATAAAATACCTCCAAATCACAAACACAATGGGTGTTTCTCAATGTCGAGAACGCTTCCTTGGTAGGACATGTCCCTCCGAGTCAGGTCCTTCAGAAGCAAGGCAAGAATTCTTCCTAGCCTCGGAAAACGAAGAATGGTGGAACAGGCTAACAGGTGTGCGTCATATGCGAGGCCCGCTTAAATGGAGCGCAATTTCCACCAAAGATTTGGAAATTGGTCCGTGCGCAAAGCATTGTGGGGATTTTAAGACCGCGGAGGATACACATGTGCAGCCTCGAAATTTCCCCCAACGAAGGACTCCGGCCTCGGTAGAATTCCAAGCATCCTGGACATTGGAACAGTTCTTCGGCGGGACTCGATGACGTAGCATCCTTGAAATAGTGGCTCTGGAGCAACCTTCCTCGACATTGAGAAACACCCAATAGCTTGGTATCACAAATAAATAAGGAGAGTTATAGGTACCAAACAACATAATATTAAAAACGTATATATGCCGAGGGCAGTTGCCGGATATCTAGTTTGTAATGCGGCCTTGAATTAAGTTTTTTTTATTCTTTAGAAAGAGGACATTTACATAAATGTTTATCTTTTAATTATTAGAATTTACTTTCTTATAAGACATGAAATCCTTAGTTATTAATGTCATTAAGTGACTGGTTGGGCCTTTTAAGAAATCTTCATATTCGAGTAAAGGCCTAACATTTGCACTGCATATTCATTTTGTTTATTTTTTCAATATCCTTCCAACCTGCTGTAACATTAGATGAATTCATGTCTGTCTGGACACATTGAACATTAACTGTGGCTGTGCAGATCATTTCAGTTTTAAAGATATGTGCAGATTTTGATGAATGCAGTCGCATCACTTGGTCATGTCCCCAAAATGTTAGCTTTTAATATAGAACAGGGTCAATTTAACATTATATTTATCATAAATGTTATTTGTATAGAGCCAAATGAAAAGGACACTACTAAATTAACATATACCTAGTACTCATGCGTCTGTGGATAGATTGTGTCACCTTAAGCAACTGTGTCACATGCAGTCTCAAGACTATGCAGATATAGTTGGGATTGATAGGAAGGAAGCGGCCATTCACCCCCAATTTAGATTTTACATTTAGATCATTTTTCTGTGAAATGATGATCAAAGTGATTAAATAGTATTCGTTTCACAACTTTGATGTTCGCTCAGAAGTGAAGCAGGAAATCAGTTTCTGTGGTTCAGCTGGTTTGTTGCAGATTTCACAAGAAATGTTTGAGTGGCCACAGTGGGCTGCTTCAACAAAAAAAAAATTGCAAAATGGGGACCAATGAAATATGTCAGTGCAAACTTGCAGGCAAACATTGAATGGATGTGGTCAGAATTCAAAATAATCTTAGTGTTAATCAGACAAAGTGCTGCATAAAAGGATCGACTTAATGCCCCGAAGAACAAAGGCAAGTAAATTGTCTTGCAGAGCATCATGCATGCTCTACACAAACTCCTGCTTTTTCAGGTCCTGACATCTCTCGGACAAAATGGTAATACTCCGAACTCTGTTTATTATGCTCCAATCATTAACTGAAATTAACCTACTGTATGACCTTTTACTTATTTCAGCAGATGGGAGTAGAATCATAAAAGGAGCAATAGCCCCAGATGATACGTACGAGTTTTTAGTCTCCCTGCAAAAAAACGAGAAACATCTGTGCGGAGGATTCCTGATCAGCGAAGACTTTGTGCTCACTGCTGCGCACTGTAGCTCCGAGTGAGTATAACTTCCTTTATCCGCTATCTTTGAATCATTCAATTTGAAAAGTCTTCAAGATATATTAACCACCTTTATTTTTAAATATTATCTTCAATATTGAATATTATCTTTCATTTAGGGAACCGGACAGGGTCGTTGTTGGCACTCATAAACTCCTCAACGTTGGTGATGAAAATGTAAGATACATTGAAAAGAGATACAAACACGGATCCTATTACCAAGTAAGCGGAGGTTATGACATCATGCTCCTCAAAGTAAGTACACTTTTTTTTTGGATCAAATTAATAATTTAGCTTTCAGCTTCATATTCAGCCATTTTTTGTTACATTTGAAGTCTGAAGAATAAAAAAGCATTATCTTATATTACAGACATTGCTAGTTTTGTGAGATTTACTTTGAGATTTTTTTCATCTCCAGCTGACGAGGAAAGTTGCCGGGAACAAAAAACAAATCATTGCCCTTCCTTCTTCTAATATCCACATTCAAGAAAAGAAAACCTGCCATGTAGCTGGATGGGGTAAAACAGAGACTCGTGGTGGAGTTGTTGATCGGCTGATGGTGGTGGATGTGTCTGTCATAAACCTGAACACATGCTCTGAGTCATGGGTACAATGGGGTGGTATTCCTTCCAATGTTATCTGTGCCGGTGGTTATCCCAGTGACAAAGGCTTCTGTCAGGTATGATTTATCTTTGTTGATGTAAGATGTAAGCTGGTATAAAAATGCTTTAAAAATCTTAAATAAAATAATGAATAATATTCCTTGTTCACAGGGTGATTCTGGTGGTCCTCTGGTGTGCGACGGGATAGCTGTTGGTGTTGTGTCTTTCAACTACAACAGAACATGTGACTACCCAACTAAACCCAACGTCTACACAGAGATCTCCAAATACCTTGGCTGGATCAACAATATCATCAATTAAAAAGCTTAATATGCAATATCATAAAGCTTTGCTTCAGCACACTTTGAATGTATTTAGGAGGGGAGGCTGTGTCTCAGCTGCTCTGGCAGTGTTCGCTCTTTAATGGAAAAGCAAAATAAAGCAAATGTCTCAAATGTTGTTTTCTCTTTTCTTTATCCGAACACTTGAGGTTTGAATCTCTTATAGGAAAAGGTTTTACTTCAGCAAACATTCATTGTAATATGGAGGCTTTGTGGTGTCACAGATTGGTCTATCAAGGTTTATTTCATCAGTATACATTCATTTTGTATGTTTAAATAATCATAATGAGATCCTGCACTTGGAGAGGTTGAGCATGTGACGTCACCATAGTTTCAATGTCGGATTATAAACTACTTTTAACACTCATAAGGCACTTCAATAGAATTAACTAATGTAAAAAAATAGCAAACAGTATCAGCAATCTAACTCAGCGGAAATTGTTTTACATGCTTTTATTACTAGTCGCTTGGACTACTGCAATTATTGTGGTCTCCAAAAAAATCTTTAACGAAATTGCAATTAAATCAGAATGCTGCGGGAATCACTGCACTGGTTACCGGTGTCTTTCCAAGTTGATTTTAAAATGCTTTAAATAATTTATAAGGCTTTACATAACCCGGACCCTACACACATCAGGGACTGCCTTTCTTTTGATAACCCAACAAGGACACTCAGATCCTCCGATGCATTTCTTTTAGAAGTACCTAAAGTAATACACAAGAAATCTGG